CATACATACATATATATATATATATATATATATATATATATTTGCATTTCTTATTAAAAGGTGTGAGAATTAATTTTTCATCGTTAAAATATAAAAGATTTGGTTACTTTACAAATCTGCTGCGAAACATTGCCTTTTCACAAGTGACGTACACCTTTGAAGTTGCCTATATTACTGAGGATAGAAAGAGCGACCGTATAATTATCAGTTTCTCACAATTGTTTTCCCTCAATTTGCACATGTTGATGTAGCTGTAACGAATTCGACTGAGAAACATATATTATGTAGGAATAATTTGTCCTGAGCATGAAAAAAAATTAGCCAGTAAACATTTATGTTGACTGAAATATTTAGTAATTAGTATAGATCAATAATAATACGAGAATATAGGATAATGATTAAAGGGATAGATGAGGAGAATTTTGTAGGTGAGAGAGAGAATATAGGATAATGATTACATTTACAGGATACGTGAAGAGGAGAAATTTGTAGGTGAGAGAGATAGAGTATAAATAGGGATGGCATTCGAAATTAGTGTTTTGCAAGTTTTATCCGTTTTTAGCGAGAGAGAGAAATGTTTGTGTTGGAAGAGGAGGTGGTGGCATGCAATTCTCAATCAATCTCATTCTCCCCCCTTTTGTTCTTTGCATTTGGGTTCCGTTCTCTCTCTGATGTCCTCTTTTCTTTCTAAATCCTATTGGATTCCTCATGAGACAAAAGGTCCTGCGCTAAGGTACAATGTATTAATTCCTTTATCCAATTCTTATTGGGCATGCAACTTTTTGCCTTTCAATTCGTTAAATTTTTATACCCATCTTCATTACTCATTAATAGTTTCAATTCTAAATGTTTGAAATCGTACATTCACAATATAGATGAGTTTGACAGAATCAGAATTCTCAGAGGAGGGTGCAGCAGGCCTTCAAGAGCCTCCTGATCCCAATGTTATTGAAATTGATCCCACTAGTCGCTATATTAGGGTACGTAATCGTGTGCTTTTCCCCCAAGGAAAACCTAACCATGCATTAATATCATGTTGTTTTTTGTATTCAAAACAGTATAAAGAAGTCATTGGCAAAGGAGCTTTCAAGACTGTGTATCCTTTCTTAGCATTGTGTTTCTTTATTATTATGTTTTTTTAGTTTTACTTCAAGGTTAACTGCTATCTCCCATACAAAATTCAATGACATTTTCAACGCCTTGTTCAGTTTAGAACATAATGCATAGTATTTTGTGGTTCATGGTTTCCGTTAAGAATTTTATTGCTCGGGTGAAATTCGGTTCGAGGTATACATTTTTTTTTCCTTTATTTGTGGTTAATTAGTTACAAGGCATTTGATGAAATCAATGGACTTGAAGTTGCATGGAGCCAAGTTCAGATTGATGAGGTATTACAGTCACCAGGTGGCCTAGAGAGGCTGTACTCAGAAGTACGTCTTTTGAAGACACTGAAGCACGATAACATAGTAAAGTTCTACAATTCTTGGATCGATGAAAAGCACAGGAATCTTAACTTGATAACTGAGTTGTTCACCTCAGGGAGCCTTAGACAGTGTGTTCCCTATCCTTTATAAATTTTCTTCATTTGTTTTTCCCCCTTTTTTTTTTTGAGATCAGCCCTTTGGTTAGTGGATTTGATGCATGATTCAGGTATAGTCAGAAACACAAGAAGGTTGACATGAAGGCTATCAAAGGATGGGCAAGGCAGATTTTAATGGGTATAAACTATCTCCACTCTCACAACCCACCTGTTATGCATAGGGACCTGAAGTGTGATAATATATTTATTAATGGTCACCGGGGAGAAGTTAAAATTGGAGATCTAGGGTTGGCAACTTTGTTGAAGCAGACTAATGCCAAGAGTGTAATTGGTATGTTTTCTGTTTTATTGCATTTTTTTCATCCTTTATATTTTTAAAACATAACCAAGAATTTAATATTTTTTCCATCTCAGCTGTAATAAAAGGGAACTGGTAGAAGTTTTTTATTTTCTGACTTCTTTGCCTCATTGCTGTTTGATTTCTACACCACTTGTATTTACACATATGTAATCCTAGTAGGAACCCCGGAGTTCATGGCACCTGAACTGTATGATGAACATTATAATGAATTAGCCGACATATATTCTTTTGGGATGTGCATGCTTGAGTTGGTTACGTCTGAATATCCTTACCGTGAATGTAGAAACTCAGCTCAGATATACAAGAAAGTTTCATCTGTGCGTATTCTTATTGATAACACTCTTTTTCTTTAGGCTATTACTGGGATTTACATATACTATTATTGTCATATAATTTTCATGTTGCAGGGCATAAAGCCTGCTGCACTTGCCAGAGTCAAAGATCCAGAAGTAAAATTATTTATTGAGAAATGTCTTGTCCCAGCACCTCAAAGATCGTCAGCAAAGGAGCTTCTGATGGACCATTTTCTCCAAGTGAATGGTTCGTTGAAGAATCGTCGTCTTCCATTACCAGATATTGTTCTTCCAAAATATGGAGCCTTCGAACATCGTTGTCTGATGTCAGAAGGTCCTGCTAGTACACGTGTTAGATCCATTTCAATGGATCTTGGTGATGCCACTGAGCTTCCATTGACCACTTTAGTTTATAACTCTGTTGATTCTGTTAATGATACATCATCTTCCCCTTGTGTTGAGATACGAAGGTTGAATGAAGGTGACAGATTTTTTCTAAAAGGCGAAGAAAATGATGAAAACTCGGTGTCATTGGTTCTCCGCATATCTGATCAGAGTGGTGAGTATAGCTTATAATTGATGTTTACTCTTAATGAATTTTACTCTGAATATCATGTTTTGAGTTTATCGGTGGAAAGTTAAGGTCTCTGACAATGAAATACAGGGCGAGCAAGAAATATCCATTTCATATTCTACCTCGACAGTGATTCTGCCATCTCAGTTTCAAGTGAAATGGTTGAGCAACTAGAACTTTCTGAGCAAAGTGTTAAATTCATAGCAGAGTTAATTGATCTATTATTGATAACTTTGATTCCCAATTGGAAACCTTGTGTAGCGATTGATCATTTAGTTTCTTGTACTGGTAAACTAACTCATCCGAGTCAACGGAAAGAATCAGAGTTAGCAAAACACAGAGTAAACTCAGAAGATTTTAGCGAAAATGTGGCCGAAGATGTAGGTTCCTCAACCTCACCAGGAAGATCAGAAGAAAAGGAAAACCATGATACTGTGATTTTTCACGAGGTTTTGTCTCAAGCAAGCAATGATTTTCAAAGAGCAATAAAGAAAGATGATTTTTGTTCTGATATTTCATACACTTCTGAAACATCTGACTTCAATGATAAGCATTTTTCTACAGTTTCATTCATGTCTGCTAAATCAGGATTTACAGACTGTGACTTGCCTAAAGTTAATAGTCAATGCTCACTTGCTTCTGAAATGGGGGCATCACCTGATTATAGGTGTAAGTTGCCATGCTTAGAAAGCAATGGTATAATGAAATCCTTTAATTATCCCACTAGTGCTTCTTGCTCGTGTGAACATGAGGATGAGTTCAAAATAGAGTTAGAAATGATTGAACAGCAGTATCAAGATGCAATTAAAGAATTATCAAAAAGAAGATACCAGGCCATCGCAGAGACCAGCAGGAGACTGTCACAAAAATATGCAAGCATAAAATAATTTCTTTCACCCTTCTCATATGTAATAATTATTATTAGTGTTTCATCTCTTCTCCATATCCTTGTAAGTAACAACTGTAAGTAGTTCTTTGTGTATGAAAAGGTTCACTTATTAGTCACTGTAGCAAGGAATTTTCTTTGCAAAAATCTATTGAAAATTATCCCTAATGTCATGTTAGAAAATAACTGGAAGTCTGGAACTAATCCAACACAATTGAAAGTGCGATTGAAATCAATTTCATGTATTCTCTCTTCTTATTTGCTTTGCATGGCCTGAATTAGTTAATCGGTAGGTAAGTTCATTTGCAAAGAAACATACCAATAGTAGTTAACTAATCTCATGCTTATGAAATTAGTTTGATTAAAAAACAATTAAATTTAATCAATATGGGTTGAATTGATTTTGTCGAGATATTTTTTTTTAACTAACGTGATCTAAATTAATTCAGCTAAACTCGAGTTATATCAGATTATGTTATTAAGCTGACATATATTTATAATTTTATATTTATAAAAATGAAAATAACATTAAAGAAGGAGGGTATTTTTTTCATATAATACTTATATTTATATAGATATTTTTAAAAATTATTGGGTTTAAATTTGAATTTATGATGGTTGGATTATTCTTTATAAGTTAATACAATTTAAATATATCTAAACCAAGTTATACTTTTAATTTGGATGAGTTAGATTCACATACCCAATAAAAAAAAATTTGACGTAATAGTGAAGTTTGGACAGTATCCATCTTAATTTTAATTTCATTTTTACCATTGTACACTAATTTTGTGTTTGGTTTAAGACAAAAAGTGAAAGAAAAGAAGAAAAAAAAAATAAAAGGATTTTTTCTTCCCTTTGGATGTGTGAAGAGTGAAAGAAAAGAAATAATATGTATACAAAATAACATAAATAATCTGAATAAAATAATACTATGAAATATATAACCAGGGATATTTTTTGTGATTTACATAAAGAAAACTTCCCACTCACACTTTTCTTCCCAAATCGGAGGGATCCTAATTTGAGATGGGCCTATAAGTAATTCTCCTTTCCTTTTTCTGATGGAAGAAACTAAACGAGAGAAGGGTCGAGACAAGTTTTGTTCCTCCTTCTTTCCTTTCAAACTAAATGATGCGTGCAAAAAAAAAATCACAAATCGAATTTGGCCCATGTTTCTGAACACATAATTTGTCGTTTATTTTAAAATATTTTAAAAGGTTAATTTATTGGTAAAATTATTTTTAATTTAAATTTAAATTTAAAATAATTATTTGTTTAATAATAGATTTTAAAACTTAATTAATATTAATTTTAATGAGATATAATAATTTAATCATTGTAATTTTAATTTATTTTAATTATCAAACATTTTAAAATTAGTTTCTTTTAATTTTTGTGATTAATTATAGCCACAATAATCAATATTTTCTTTTATAAATATTGAGAATTAGGAGTAAAATGCATTAAATACTACTCTTTTCATATTCTCTAAGTTCTCTTTTTTTGGAATTAAAAACATACTAATTTTACATTCTTAATCTAATACTGAAAATTTTTTGTTGTATCTTGAGAACTTGCATAATAGAAGTTAAGTTCATGTACTCAACATCGTGAAGAGAGAGCTTACGAGAGAGAAAAAAACTGAGATAAAATTTCTCTTTCATCCTCCAAAATTATGTGAGGTGATCTTATTAAGTAAACTTGGTGGAAAAAGGGTCTTTAATTTTATGACATTAATTCAAAAAGCTTGTTGGTTTGAATGTTTATCCCATTGAGAGTTTTGAGGATTAGATTGATTGTTAGAGGGAGGTTTTTATGCAAGAAATAAACCATTGGTTTGTTTTGATTTAGAAGCGATGAATCCAGGTAGCATTTAAATTAATTACGATAAAGTGATAATAAGGAGAAAGAGAAGCAGAGATTGAGTCCGACATTACTGTGGCACTTCAGGGATCAACGCACCCTCACTCCACGTGGCATCCTTCCACGACGAGATCGACGTGACTACATGTTTGATTGAGTTTGGAGATCAATGAGTGCAGTGTACCCATTTTACTGCGACGTAAATGGTTACACAGTGAAGGACTAAGAGCATTTCCAATGCAACTGTGTCTTATATAAGGATGATGTATATATAAATTTAAGCAACTTAACTTGCCAACTAAATGCTTGTTAGTTATAAGATAGAGGGTCGGAGATGCTCTAAGGTGACGACGGAGAGGACTAAAGCATTGATGCTCATCGCACTATGTTTTATTCCCTCCCTCACTCATACTCAACCATTCCAAAAACCGCTAGGCTTTCTCACTTGGGAGCAAAGTTCATTTGATGCTCAAAGACCATACACACGTACGTATGCATGAGAGGTGACTTTGTTCGCAAAGAGGCACCAATCTTATGACTGGGAGGTTGCAATTGGCATTCTGAGTTTTCCAATTTAGATGAAATTTAACCATTTCAAGTATGCCTTCTTTTAAATACTTGTGTTATGCATATCATTGAGAGAAGTTATATATTATTAAATTAAAGTGTCTTTATGAAGTGTGGTAATGAGATAAAAATAAATAAATTATGAGACATTATTTAGATAATGATGTAGACACTTAATATAAGAATCTCTTCATAGCAGGAAGAATTATTTATTAGTATTTTGTATCACCCTAAAATCAATATATTATATATGATGACCATTGTGTGCATCAATTTAATTATGTGATAATGAACATTTTTTACTCTAATTTTGGAGATATTGGTAATTATATAATGTTGATACCTTTGTGGTATTATTGATGTGAGTTTTTTGAGTTTAACTCTTAAAGAATATTGTCGATTATGACATTGATTAGTAGAGACATTGTGAAATTATTAACAATTCTAAGTAATATGATTAATTATAGTATAAAAAAATGATGTTATCCATATTACAAATTTTACATAATATGAGATGTTATATTTATAAATTATGGTATTTAATATTGTGAATTTTTCATTGTATTAAAAAAATATAATAGTGATTAATTGAGTATTGGATCCATATGAGACAAATTCATTAATGTGTCATTACACTTTGTTGTAGTGAAATTAATTTGAGATCAACCAAATACAATTGTTGAATCAAAGTTTGTTATTTTAGAGATGGTTGATTATGAGTCATAGTGATAGAGAGCCTCTTAGAAAATATTTTGTTGAGAATATAAAATTAAGAAATGATATGATATAACAATTACTTAAAGATCAAAATTTATTGATCATGTATAGTCAATAATGGATTTGACCGATCTTTTGACTTTAAATTCTTAAAAAGGATATTATTTAAAAAAATATTGTGAGTTATTTATAAATATCGAGGAAAATCAGAGTTTATTAAAGTCACTTGAAACAAACAATAATGATAACTTATGAAGAAGGTTTAGTGGGAAAAACAAATCACTTGTTAGTTTTATTAGCATTAAAATTGATTTTAATCAATTTTAATTTTTCAATCTCTTCCTATGGTGTGAGAAAGTGTTAAGGCTACAATAATGAGAGGATAAAGTTTCACCTCTTATAAAGTTTTTAATGATTTTCACATCCTTTATGAGTGATATATGAATTACGTACAATATACATTTGATGAAATCACTTATACGAGTGTTAAGTGAGATCACTTACGTGAGATCTTGGTGAAATTTTTAGATCACTCATGAATACTAGACATGCATGGCCTAAAAGTACAACACGATAATAACAACAAGGATTGTGCATGTGTATTCGGATGGGTTAACATGTGATATTCACCAAGTGTTTTAGGGTTCAATAACTTGCTATACTCACTATACTATGTGTTAAGTTTTATTAACTTAAGTCTAGTTCAATAACTTGTTATGTCAGGCCCAATGCATTATATCTTATATGAGAGCCCAATCTTTTTAAACCTTTCGAATTATGCGGGAGATTATTGTATATTTTGAAATATTTCAAAAGGTTAATTTATATTTTAAATTTAAATTTAAAATATTATTTTATTAATGAAGATTTTAAAACCTAATTAATATTGGTTTTAATGATATATAATAACCTAATCGTTATAGTTTTAATCATTTTTAATTATTAAATATTTTAAAATTTTTTTTTTTAATTCTCCTGATTAATTATAGCCACAATGGTCAGTATCCTCCTCCTATAAATATTAAGAATCAGTAGGAGTTAGATGTATTGAGATTGCTCTCTTCTCTCATTCTCTAAGTTATCTCTTTTTTAGGTTAAAAATTTGTTAATTTTGTATCCTTAATTGGTATTGAGAAAATCTTGTATTAGATCAAGAAGTTTTTATTTATCTTGAAGATTTGCATAATAGTTTGCGTATAAGAATAATGCATACCTCAAGAGTTTAGATCACATTAATATCATTCACGGGGAACACAATTAACAGTCACTAATTAAATGAGCCCATTATAACCCATTTTTAAATATGTTATTTATTTTTATTTTTTCTAAACCCCAACCTAATTAAATATCTTAGTATATAGGGAGACTTGAATAAGGTTCACAATAAAATTAATTAATTAATTAAAAGAGTGGAGTAAGCATACAGTCATACATCATCAACCCTAATAAAATACATATCATCTTTATTACCTAATCAAATAGTTTTTTTTAATGAATAAAGATATTATATTAGTGTGTGTTTGTTTTGACATTTTTAAGAGGCAAACGTCCATTTATTTAAATACACTTAAGATATATATTTTTCTGTCTAAGAGCATTAGAACGTGTAATAATACAAAGACACCCTTACTAATTGTGGGCTCATCATTCATTTCCTTTAAACGAAAAACGTGGGAAAAGCATTAGTCATGGGTTTTAAAAGCAGTGACTATCTAATTTTTGAAAATACAGCTGCAATTATGGGCACTAATCCAAGTATGATACCAAATTAAGGAGGTGTTTAATTTCCCCCAATAAATTGTATGACAAAACTTTAAAATCTATTTTCGAAACATCTTCAACAGTAAAGTTTTAATAATTTTTTTATTATTAGGGGAAATTTTATATGAATCCAAAAATAGTTTATCTCACCTCTCTATTAGTTTGACTAGTGTAGAATTTCATAAATAGTAAAAAAAACTATAAAAAAAAGTATTCTTAAATTTTCTTATTTATAATATAATCATAGTTT